CATCGGAGAAACATCATCGGGGAACATACGAGGGATTGTGAAACTTACCTTACAACCGAGACATGACCCTGCTGTGCAGATCATCGTGGAGACTCACATCCTGAGCAAGTTGACGGCGAAATTACCGTCATTCACTTTGCAACACATCAACCCCACTTCAACTAAGAGGACTACAATTGGCAGATCNAGAATGGCCAAAGTTTATGGAGCTGAGGCCACACGAGAGGAAGCAGTTCTTAACTGACAGGGGGCTCTGCTAAAACTGCCTGGGTCCTCATCGAGTACCCAAATGCAAGAGCAAACAACGGTGCAAGACGTGTGGCGAAGAGCATCATACTCTCATCCACAACGTACCACAGATGTTGGCTAGGGTACGCGCTGAAGAGCAGGACGCAGCTGCGCAGCAACAGAACGCAAGCGGTTAAGTATCAATTTATTAGGACAATATGTTGAACTGGGCTTAACCGTTCCGTGTGTTGGCAGGATACATCCAGAACCTCATCCCACATCAGCCACTCATCAAGGCAGATCCTGTCAGCGTATCATCAGGTCCATCATCACGCCAAGACACAGCATCGCAAATCAAATCTTCGGTCAGGTCACTCATCGAGATGAAGAGGTCATCGACCTCTCACAATCAGACTGGAGATCATCATCAATCAGAGGGGTACCACCTCGGAGGTCATCATCAATCAGAGAAATACCACGTTGGACAACAACGCCATTCAAAACAACGGCGTGTTGGAGATCTTCGACAATCAGAGAATCATCAGAACACTCATCAAGGGTATCACCAACAAGCAGAAAAATACCAGGTCGCTCATCAACGACAATCAGATCCACAACCATTAAAGCAGGTGGACACATCAACGTTCTGGAAGCTCAACGAATTCCTCAGGGAACATCACAACTGGTAGTCTTGGCAACAGCTAGGGTCAACGNCAGGAGGAGCTACCGGATACATCATCAACAGTTGTCATGAGCAAAGCTGAAGCCGAATGCGAACAACACTTTATCGAGACTCATCAGAGGGATTCGTCGGGACGTTATGTCGTGCGTCTCCCCTTCAAATCATCACCAGCCGCCTTGGGAGATATAGCATCAACGGCCAAGAAACGGCTATCTAAGCTATTGGGAAAATTATCGTCAGATCCAGTCACTCAGACCCTCTATAAGAAATTCATCGAAGAGTACGAGGCCCTGGACCACATGCAGCGAGCACCTTCAACTTCAGAACCAAAGCAGGCATATTACCTGCCTCATCATGGAGTGCTTAAACCAGACAGCACGACCACAAAATTGAGAGTGGTGTTCGACGCATCGCATCGCAGCTCATCAGGAGTGTCACTTAACGACATACTCCATCCAGGACCGAAGATACAAGTAGACAGCTCTGACGTGCTTATCTGGTAACTTCGTCATCGTTTAGTATTTGGTGCGGACATTGTGAAACTGTTCTGCCAGATTCGTGTTCATCGAAACGATTGGGATTATCAACGGATCTTCTGGAAAGACGACGAAGGAAAACTCATCGACTTTCATCTGACGACAGTCACATACGACACCAGCTGCATACCTTGGCTATCTCTGAGGGTGCTGAAGCAGTTGGCCATCGACGAAGGCCATCGATTCCCGTTGGCCTTACCGACATTCATCAAGGGACGGTATGTTGACGACATATACGGAGGCGCGGAAACAGAAGACCATCTGGAAAACATTATCAAGCAGCTCATCGAACTTTGCATGGCGGGCGCCATGCCCCTGCAAAAATGGTGCAGCAATGCACCGCAAGCTCTAGAACGACTCGGAATATCATCAGGATCAGCTCCAACTATCGAATTCGAGGAATCAACGGTGAAAGTGTTGGGACTATGCTGGCAGCCCCACACGGACACCTTTCATTATAAAGCAAAGACTTTCACCGAGGACACCATCACCAAGCCCATAACCTTGTCCGAGATTGTGCAAATCTACGATCCATTGGGACTCATCGCGCCGGTGATCGTCACGGCAAAGATACTCATCCAGGAATTATGGCTGCTCAAACGTAACTGGGACGATCCCCTTCCAGATGACTACAAGGATCGCTGGAAATCATTCAGAGAGCAGCTTCAACACTTGAGCAGCCTATCAATACCACGGTGGCTACATCTATCGCCCGGTACATCGGAAATTCAACTTCATGGATTTGCGGACGCATCAAATCTGGCAATGGGCGCATCGGTCTATCTCCGTACATCCGCAGCGACATCGGGAACGTCTGTCACCTTGGTTTGTGCCAAGACCAAGGTGGCACCTCTCAAGAAGAAGACCATTCCAAGACTGGAGCTCACGGCTGCAGTCATGGTCACAAAACTCGTGGCTTATGTCAAAAAGGCTTTGGAATTGGACAACATCAAGATTTATCTATGGAGCGACTCATCGGTAGCCATCACCTGGATCAACGGGGACCCTGCCCGTCGGAAGAATTTCGTACAGAACAGGGTTCTTAAGATACGAGATACCCTGCCCTCTGCAACTTGGAAACACATCAATGGGAAGGAGAATCCGGCGGACTGCGCATCAAGGGGTCTCACCCCGAAACAACTGGCGGAGCACCATCTATGGTGGACAGGGCCATCATGGCTTGTCCTGCTACCAGACCAATGGCTAGCATCATCAATGGACCTAGCATCATCAACAGAGGTATCATCAGAAGCGGCACAGGAAGCGAGGCCGCCCATGATCAGCTCACATCCAGTGCAGATTGCCGAGGCAAATGCGCTAATCATCAGATACTCATCACTCACAAAACTACTGCGGGTTACAGCTTGGGTAAACCGCGCAGCAAAACTCTTCAGAAGACAGCCGCTACCCGATTCTCCACAAATGGAACCAGAGGAACTCGAAGAGGCGAGACTGTTTTGGGTCAGATACACGCAGCAGCTCTACTTCGAGGCAGAAGTTAACACGCTGAGGGACAGGAACCCCTTAGCGCCGAATCATCGAATCGCAACGTTGACGCCATACCTGGATAACGACGTCATGCGATTGGGCGGACGTCTACGACGATCAACATTGGATCCGGAGGAGAAGAATCCAATCATTCTTCCCCGTCACTCGCCATTATCATCGCTCATCATCGCGGAGGCTCATCAATGGAGCTTCCATGGAGGAACTCAACTAACTTTGGCACACATCAGACAGCGGTACTGGATCATCGGGGGACGAGCTCCAGTATGCTCCCACATCATCAAATGCGTAATTTGCGCACGTCATAGAGCATTGAGGGCTCAACAGCTGATGGGACAGCTGCCAACACGACGAGTGACACCATCGAGGGTCTTTCTCCACTCAGGAGTAGACTTCGCAGGCCCAATCAACATCCTGAGATGGAGAGGATCAGGGGCAAGCAAGACAATGTACAAGGCTTACATCTGTCTGTTTGTATGTTTTGCTACTTCAGCAACACATCTGGAACTGGTAACGGACCTCACAGCGGAGGGATTCATCGCAGCGTACAAACGCTTCACGTCGAGATGGGGCATCTGTGCAACCCTGTCCAGCGACAGGGGTGTCAACTTCATCGGGGCAGAGAGAGAACTTCAAAGGTTATTCGACCAGGCATCAAGCGAATCGGCAACTATCAGGGATCAGCTAGCATCCGACGGAACGGAATGGAAATTTAATCCTCCTCATTCGCCGCATATGGGAGGCAAGTGGGAGGCTGCAGTGAAATCAACGAAACATCATCTACGAAGGGTCATCGGCACCTCGACCTTGAGGTACGAAGAATTTACGACTCTTCTGACGCAAGTCGAGGCCATACTTAACTCACGACCCCTCTGCCCACTCACAAACGACCCGCAGGATACATCAGTCCTGACACCAGGACACTTTATCATAGGAGAAGCGCTCACGACAATTCCAGAGCCTTCACTTCAGCAGATCAACACAGCAAGACTGAACAGATGGCAAATCATCTCCCAGAGGCTTCAGAATTTCTGAGAACACTGGGCACGAGAGTGCATTCATCGTTACCAGCAAATTTATCGGTGGAAGCAGCCAACGAACGAAGTAAAAATCGGTTCGTTGGTCCTCATCATTGACGAGCGGGAGCCACCAGCCAAGTGGCCTCTGGCTCGAGTCATCGCAATTCATCCGGGACAAAACAACTTGACCAGAGTTGTCACACTGAGGAAAGGCAACCAGGAGTCTCAAAGGTCCATCCACAGGCTGGTGCCTTTGCCGATCAACGACGACCTTTTGGAAGGTCAACAATGATACGTCATCATAATCATCAGCTAAACATCGTCAGCTGGAGGTGACGCAGGGCGGGCGGGATGTTGAAAATCATCCCGCAGTCGGGCTAAATATCGAATTTTACTCGCTCGGCAACCTTCGGGCATCGACGAACACGCACGAGGACGATCGTACGTGTCGTATCTTTTAGTACGCCATCAAACTTCATCGAGTGAAAGTGCCGCAAAATTATCGCATCTATTATCGAACATTATCATTGCAAATCATCTTTTTGTTAATTTGTATACAGTCCACTCGGAACTCATCTATTTATTAAACTCTGTGTTGTGCAATTTTCAGTGCAAGATTATTTGTTTATTAAAGGAAACTCATCAAATTACCTCCGGCTAATTATCAACTCGTAAACCCGAACCTCACTTTTTCCTTCCGACCACCCGGCTCATCAAATCGTGATTGATTTCTATCACCACCTGTCCCAGAAGTGTTGAGCAATTTTTTTGATCATTTTCCACCTGTTTGAAATGCAACTAAAATTCCAGAACATTCTGGTCGACCATCGGCCTACTTCGGAAATCGCCGGGACCCTTCGGGTCATCAATCATAAGTCACCGAAACACGCGCGAATCAGTTTAGGCTTAGCCTCTCACCGTATAAGTCTATCTCGAGCAAATCACCTGTGGACGTCGTATAGTATCCATTCGTATTTCAACGAGTTCACATCAACTAAGTAGTAGTCTCTCAACTTGCAGTCCTCAGGGTCATCTGGTAGTGCACAGAGAGGCCTTGAATTTAGCTGACCTTCGATTTGTACGATGAGTATGTTCAACTCCTCGTAGGTTCTCTGTGATTCGTTTGAGGTGAAACTTGACAGATTTCACCGCAGCCTCCCACTTTCCTCCCATGTGAGGTGATTGCGGTGGGATGAAGATCCATTTACTGCCATTTGATGCCAACTCATTGATGATGTGATGAATGTCCTGCCTTGATTCGTCCAAGAGCTGCCCAAGCTCCTTGTCTGCTCCCACAAATGTCTTAGCATTGTCGCTGCTGAGAGTGGCACAGATTCCTCTCCTTCCAGTAAACCTCTTGTAGGTTTTGATGAAGGCCTGTGATGTGAGATCCGTGATGAGTTCGAGATGAATTGCCGACGTGGCAAGACACACGAAAACTGTGATGTAGCCCTGATATTGCTTAGCTCCTGGTCCTCTCCATCTCTTGTTTTTCGAGGGATCAGCGTAGTCCACTCCTGTGTGGAAAAATGCTCGAACTGGTGTGATCCTTCTTGGAGGAAGCTGAGCCATCAGTTGTTGTGCCCTGATTGCACGATGTCGAGCACAGATGACGCACTTTAGGATGTGGGATTTTACTGGATAACGTCTACCGATGATCCAGTATCTTTGTCTGATATATCCCAACATTGCCTGTACACCTCCATGAAAAGTTTTACGATGAGCTTCCTCGATGACCAGTGATGTGAACCTTGATTGTTTGGATAGGATTGCTGGATTCTTAGCTTCTGGCTGAAGATCTGATCCTTTCAGCCGCCCGCCAAAACGTAGTGTTTGATCCTCGTCCACATAAGGAATCAGCCTTGCCATTGGGTGATTTCTGTTGATGTCTTGTCCATTGTTGAGCTGATTGATGATTGACCCAAAGTGCTCATTCTGTATGAAGTTGATCCAGAAGATTTTGGTTTCTTCCAGCTCCTCTGGTTATAGATCTAGTTATCTAGGGATTAGTTCCCTTCTCATGTTGTTGGTGGCTCGTAGGACTCTTCCTGAAATCCGTAGCAGCCTGTCGATTGTGGAGTACCTCTCTAAGAAGTCTTGAGGTCTCTCCAGATTCAGCGCCACTGGATGAGCAACCACTGGTCTTTCCTCCAGAGCTGCTTCTGCTGATGATTCGATCGATGATAATGGCCATTCTTCCTTTGGTGATTTCAGCCATGATGGACCATTCCACCACAGATGATGTTCCACTAATTCATCTGGAGATAATCCTCTTGATGCACAGTCAGCTGCATTCTCGACCCCTCTGATATACCTCCATTCAGCTGCTGATAAGGAATTTAGGATCTTGAGAACTCCATTCTGAACAAAATCCTTCCATCTTGATGGGTGACCATTGATCCATGTGAGCGCCACCGTGGAGTCAGACCAGAGAAAGAGTTCTAGGGTCTCTTTCTCCAGCATCTTCCTGATGTAGATGACCATATCTGTGAGGATTACAGCAGCTGTCAGTTCCAAACGAGGAATTGTTATTTTCTTCAATGGTGCAACCTTGGTTTTTCCACTAACCAAGATGACTGATAGTTCTGCAAGATGATTTTCCACTTTGATGTACACTGCTGCCCCCGTTGCTTGATTTGATGCATCAGCAAATTCATGAAGTTGGATGTTGCTTGACGTAGATGATGTTTGAAGCCACTGAGGAATGGAGATCTGATCCAGTTGTGAGAATTCTTTCCTGAACTCTTTACAACGTCTGATGTGACTCACGGGCATTGGATCATCCCAACCAATCTTGAGAAGCCAACAGCTCCTGAATGAAGGTCTTTGGCTTGATGATAACCGGTCCGACGAGTCCCAGAGGATCGTAAATCTATGCGATCTCTGAGCGGATTGTCCTTTTGGTGATCTTGTCCGGTGATGACTTCTTTGATTTGCAGATGAAAATGTCTAAATAAGGATTCGAACACAACCCCAATACCTTGACAGTCGTGTCCTCGAATTGAACAGCTGATGTTGATTTCGTTGATAATTTAAGTTCCTGTAGAACTCCTTGATGATTTAATATCCGTTTTTGCAGGGATAGACCGCCCGCCATGCAAAGATTGATGAGTTGACTGATGAGATCCTTGAGCTGTTCCTCAGATTCAGCTCCCCCGTAGATGTCGTCGACGTATCTCTTTTTTGTCAGGAAGACAGCCGCCAGTGGAAACCGATGACCCTCATCTTCAACCAATTGTTGAAGAACTCGAGGAGCCAACCATGGAGCACAAGTCTGCCCGTACGTAACTGTTGTCAGCTGATAGGTGATGATGTTGCCTGCCTCATCCTTCTAAAGAATCCTTTGGAGATCCCAGTCCTCTGGATGATTCTTGATTTGACGAAACATCTTCACGATGTCCGTCCCGATGATTAGGCGATGAGTTCTCAGCCAGATGAGAACGTCTGAAACTTCTATTTGTAGCTTTCCTCCTGCATGAAGTATCTAATTGAGTGATACTCCTGATGTTGTCTTACTGGATCCGTTGAAGACTACCCTGAGTTTAGTGGTGATGCTCTCTTTCCTTAAGACACCGTGATGAGGAAGATAGTGGACCGGTGATGGCTCTGATGACTCTGAGACCCTTCTCATGTGTCCCAGATCTTCATATTCCTTGATGAAGTCCTTGTAGAGCTTTCCATACTTCAGATTTGTCTCTAGTTTCTTCGCCGTTCGATGAAGTAGTTGAAAAGCGGTTCTCCTAGAATCGCCCAGAACTGATGGTGATGTCTTGAGTGGGAGACCTACCCCATAACGCTCCTCACTGTCCCTTGTATGTGTTTCTTGGAAGTGTAGCTCACACTCCTGCGCCTCAGGATTGAGCTGCTCCGCCTTAGTTGATCGAAATTCCTCCTGAATCCAGAACTTCTTAAGAAGATCTAACAGCTGCTCAGTCGAAAACTCTCGTACTGCAGTTAGAGAAGACTTCGGCTTGCAGTCTGTACAGCAGACCGTCCCAGAAACTATCCAACCAAAAATAGTTTGTTGTGCAACAAGCTGATTGTCTGGTAATTTGTTGATCTCATTTCTAATGATCTGACCATAATGATCAGCTTCGATGATGATGTCGATGGATCCAGGTTTGAGATAATTGTTATATGCTAATTGAAGATCTTGAAGATGATTTTCCTCTGCCTTTGTGCAGTGAATTGATGGTAAGGTTGATGTCAGCTTAGCCAAGACGTGAGCAGTGATCTCGACCTGATCTTGAAGGTCAAATCGACAGTGAAGAGTGACTTTGACGGCACCACGAGTTGATCCTGAGTCTAAACCTCCAATTCCGAAGACTCTGATGTGCGATTATAATCGACGAAGACGAAGAACCTGAACCAGTTGTTCAGTGATGAAGGTGACCTCTGATCCTCGATCAATTAGAAGCCGTACCACCTGATGCTGATGCTGCATGTGCTTTGACAGTTGCCAACAGCACAACGCGTTGATCTGATGATGTCGATGAAGACTCCTGGATGACCTTGCTGTCAGAGGACAGCCCCGCTCTCTCTGACCTTGATGATGATGTTCCTGATGACTGGAGATCGCCAGGTGAACCGTCAACTGACCGCGATGCTGATGATGATGATGATGCAATCCCCTGTGAGACCTCTGGAGAGTTGAGAGAGTCGTCAATTCTCTCTATCGCCGTTGATCTCGATGATGATGATTTGCCTAGGGATGAAAACAACCAGATGAGGGCCGTATCATTTGCCGGAATAAATAATAAGGAAAATTATACTTAACCTCTCGATCCGGTTGCTCCTGGATCTTCTTGGTTGTCATGTCCAGGTGGTGCTGGAGAACGATCCTGTTGTCTCTCTGTCTCTCTGCAATGTTCTGGAGATTCCTCATGGATCGACGTATGATGTTTGCCCTTGCATTTCTGGCAAGTGATGCTGCTCTTGCAGTTGTCCCCCCTGTGCGGACCGAAGCAGTTGAAACAGAGGCTCCTTTTTGAGATAAAGTCTCGTCGTTCAGCTGCAGAGTTGGCCATGAAGCGTTCACACTTGAACCCCAGCCAATGTGAACCATCACAATGTCGACAGAAAGGTCCAGATGTTGATTATTCTGATGATTCCTTGTCGTTTGATGGTGCAGTCACAGCTGATGTCTGATAAACTCGAGCTGATGACTGCTTAACCTTGCTCTTCTGGAGAGTGCTGATCTTGGAGGGTTTTGCAGGATCTTCCCTCTCCACATTTTCCAAGGCTCTAGCTCTTGCCTCTAGGAAGTCAAGGAACTCCCTGAGAGAACGAGGATTCCTCCCTGATCCCAGATGAACCTCCCAAGCCTTCTTGGTATCGAGAACGATGATTCTCCTAATGACCGTTGATACGATGATATCCCAATGCTCGATAGGAGCACCGAGAGACTTCAGTGCATCCAGCGATTGTGTGACTGTGTTCACTAGCGTAGAAAGACCCTTGGATGTCTTCTCGTTGATGGGCTTCAGATCTAGAATGCGATCGATGTGCGCAGAGATGATAAGCCTTGGGCTGTCGTAGTGAGCCTTCAGCTTATTCCAAGCGATTTCGAAGTTCTCAGCAGACACCTGAAGATTGGAAATCATCTTGTACGGCTCTCCCTTCAGTGCATTCTGAAGCCTGATCATTTTTTGAGCTGCTCCAAGCTTTGCCTTGGACTTGACGAGAGAAGTAAAGACGTCTTCGAAAATCTTCCACTCCTCAAACTTTCCATCAAAAACCTGATGTTGAGTTTCGATAAATGATCCTTATCATTCTCTTCAGTCTCTTGTCTGATCTTCGTGATCTGATGTCTCAGTTCTCCGATGACGCCAAGTGCCCGATCATAGATGTTCATGACTTCCCCATAAGTATTGAGGAGAGTGTAGTCAGAATCAGTTAGAAGTATAGACTGAGTTTTGATGATGCTGACATGATTGAATCGAAACTCCCCACAATGCGTCTCGATGATCTTATCCCTTCCTTTGAGTCTCTCGACAGTCGTCTCTTCAGGTTTGTAGCCCTCAAGGCAGCGAGAGTATCCTTTAAACGATCCCTCAGTTGATATTGCAGAGCCATAAACAAATCGAACTGAGCCTGATCTGCTTCTGATGCATGCTCTGATGGATGTTCAGAGGGGATTGATGGTGACGGTGACCGACGGCCATATTATTAACTAGATTTTCTTGGCTTATGGTGAAAAAGTTTTAAAGTGATGGATGAGAACCCCTGATATGGTATCGATTATGAGAGACACTGATCGAAACTGATGAGACACTGATGACGATGAGAACCACTGATAATTCTCAGCACCGCGCACCATTGTCGGTTGGTAGCTCAGATAATCCCCGCGAGTTTGAATGTTCACGGTGCGAGTGGCCACGAATCAAAACGGAAACACTGCTATTGTTCTCGGACACTGTCACACAAATACCAAATTCCTGAGTCCTGACGAGTGCTCGTGTGAACCCCGATTTTGGGTTTTTTAGGCGTCCAAATTATCACTCGTATTTCACTAAGTTTTTAGTTCAAACACTTCACATTTTTACACTCCCTGATCCGGCTCGAAGGACCGTGTACAAAAGTTGATGAATTTTCCAGATGTGTGGGTGGATAGGGAGTGGGAAGTGATGAGGATGAGTGTCCAAGGTTGTGAAAAAAGAAGAGAGATTTAGAGCCGCAAGGCGAAACTGTGTAATGTCACTTAATTAATCGATATTTACAATATTTACACTGCAAATTTCACTTGATGATTGTCCAACAATGTTCTGATAATTGTCCACAATTAAACCAGATGGTTGTAACCGAAATTAATGAGAAATTGCCGATATAATCTGATCGAAACCACAACGAAATAACCGATTTAGAACCGAGAGATTGCGATGTGTCGTTGATGCTAAATAGATACGAACTGTCCGGAGAGGCCCGGTTGACCCTCCATTGCCGCCCGAACCCCATGACCGAGATGACCCGATGATCCACGACTGGCCCATGGCGCTGACCAGCCTCAATTTCGGACACACTCATTCACACGAAATTTTCATGTATTTCGTTATTGAAAAATCAGTTGAATTCTGGAGTATTCAATGGGATTGCATTTTTTGGGTCCAGATGATAATGAAAAATATTGAATAATTAAAAAATTCAACCAACAATTTTCCTGAATTTTCAATCCACTGAAAATTCAGTTGAATGCGAGGTTCAATTTCCGCAATGAATTTGAAAATTCTAGATATCATTGAAAAATCAGTGATAGTTTATCATGGAAAACCCAATTATTCTGAATTTCCAACATGAATGAGAGATTCCATGAACGAATTGATCTCGAATTGAATTCAAATTCACAACCTTGAGAATTCAAGTGCAACTATTGCTTAATTTTCAAAAAATTTCTGACAGTGCAAACCCCGCAAAATGAATCATTATCTGAGTTAGGCCATTTGAGATATTACAGATATGAAACTCCCCATTTTCAAACAATGTACTCATGGAATGCAATTTTGAAGTGAATTGAATGATATTCAGCGAAAATTAGGAAAAAATAAATTCACAATTGAAGAAAAATAACGAAAAAAAGAAAAGATACTAAAACATTTCAATGATCATTTTGTCAACCCCAATTGGCGTATACTTTTTTTTCTCGTATACCCTTTCGTGTCTTTACGATTTGTTTTCTTCCCACCCTCGAACTCCCTGTACTGCATTTGCCAAAGGACAAAGGAAAACCTCACATGAGGAAAAAACCTGCCCAGGTCCAGTCGTCTTTTGCGAGACTCCCACTCAACATATGAAACCGTATCATAATTTTGGCCCCTCCGGCCGGGAATCGAACTTGGGTTTCCCGCATGACAATCCGACACTCTAACCACATCGCCACGTCCGTCGATCTCACATATTCCAGTAACATCGAAAGAAACATAAATTTTGAAGAAATCCTGATAAATTATATAAATTCAGTACATTTTATAATACCGTCGATGTACCAGCAGATGCCACTGTGCCAGTTTCTGCCACTTTGAGCACATTTTCAGTTATATCAAAGTGAAATAATTCTTGGACTCCACAGTGCTCACCATGAATCTCTAGAGCAATCTCTCTCGCCCTCTGTCACCAAGAATTATCACTTTTGAACTGCGAAAAGTATTTTTTATTTAACCGGAAAGTGTGAAAGACACGCTGGACTCAATAAAACGGTAGTGGCTCTCTCAGAGAGGTTAGAATGTACAGTTTAGTTTTCGTTCATATTCTTCAAAATGTAAGTATTAAATCATTAAAAAATTGCAGTTATCTGTCAGAAATTGATTGCTTATTCATATAAAATCGTTGAACATGGATGAAATCACTTTTTAACACGAAAATATGAGTGACAATACTGGCTCCTTCGAATGAGCCCTCGTGCCAGTTAGTGCCACTCGTATGTCTAACCTTCCAATCTTTCTAAACTTTCGTAAAAATATAAATCGGCACTATGTAGTTCGAACCAAATATTGATTAACTTTATTTTGATTCTTTGGAAAATGATAAAATTGATTGGGAATGAATTTATATACAATATTTTTATTTTTCACTAGGAGCAAACCGAAGAACCCACTCCGGGGACCAAAATACATAGAACTGTCGTTGACAAACGCTTTCATTGAGATCAAAACGGGATCTCCAGTTGCTACTGTTGCTAAAAAATACAACATTTCCAGAACTACTCTAAGGTACAAGAGAATGGATGGGAGATCGATCGCATCAAAGTCTTTTTGATTTATGGAGGAAACTGAAGGGAACTGAAAGTGCGTCACAAATACAAAAAAAACCTGAAGAATAATTTTATTTATTATGTTTCCTATTAAGTATAACCTATGAAGGGAAGACTTGTAATAGTTTACTGAATAAATAATTATTCCATCCTTTCGCAATGATTGAATGTGATTTAATCATGTAGTGGCACTAACTGGGACAAGCCGTTTTGAGGGTGGCATAAAGTGGCGCACGAGGGTGTATTGTTCAAACTTCAGTTTAAATCAATTTTTCTATATTTAGGGATTAATAATATGTTGAATTCAAAGAAAAAACTATAAACTTGCCCCTGAGTCAACAGGATTTCACCTAGCATTGAAAATATACATAACCTACGTATTATACTAGCGGACACGGCTCTAAAATCATGCAAACCTTGAAAACGAACAATAAAATGATGAGAACAAAAAATAAAATATCCATTGATTGAATTGGCATAAATAGCAAATTACTTAATCGAACGAGCAAAAATGCATAAAAATGAGTAAACGAATCTTCCAAAATGTTTTAACATCTGCTACACCCTGACGATGAATAACAAAAGTTGATAATGCAATTACATCATCCAACGAATCTGAAGATAACTATCCACGAAATGAGATTTAAAACGCTTACAACTCATGAACTCTTACAACTCTTGAATTTAACTGGACGACTAATTATATTTTTTTAAGGCCCCACGAGCATATATATATATAGGTATATAAAAGCGGGTAAACTTTGAGCCACTCTCACGGGATAATGGATGGACAGAATTGGATAAAACTTACGTCAAAAAATTTGTTTTTTTCGTTGACTGCGGTTGAAATGGTTTCGGATGTTCCCTGACGCAAAAATTATTGATAAAATAATTAATACAATTTTGAGGTGAGTTTGACAGTTTGCGGCAGCCACGTTGTATGATATAAACATACAAGTGACACAATTCAGGGGAATCGATAAATCGATCGATTGTTATTGATTGAACTTATCGACTGATGTAACATTATTTTACTTACGAGAGAGTGAGTAATTTTTTAAACTTCATGTGTGGCACACTTGACACCACGAAATTATGATTTTTCCACGTATAAGGTGTAATGATTTTTCTTTGGCCTCAACAAATACTCAATAAAACCTAACCCAGAAGTCTCGATTACCCAAATACGGCCAACTCATTACCTTCGTTCTGGTAATCCGACAAGTCTGAAACGCCAAAAACCATAACGCTAACACTGGACTTCGGGAACAATCAGCAGCTCAT